GTATAATTGGCATAATACCTATACCAATTATACATAGTTTTTTTTATTTACAAAGTTTTTTATGCAAGAATTTCTTTCACTTGTTTACTTATGATAAGTTAGATAAAGACTTATTATATTTTAAATAATACTTAGATGAAGAAATTATCGTCTTTTCAGAAATTATCAAAGTGTTACTTTCCGATGCGAAAAATTTAGAATTAGTTAATTTAGAAAAAATATTTCAATTCAAAAGTGGGAAGTTTTTAAGGCAAGAAAGTATCATTCAAAACAGAACCTAAGTCCATTAGCTGACTTATTATAAGTTAGCTAGTGGACTTTCTATTTTAAACGATGCTTTCTGCCTAAAACTTTGCGCTTTTAAATTTAAATATTTTTTCTAAATTAATCTAAAATTGGTAAAAGAATGAAAATATTTACAAATGTAAATATTCACATTTGTATTATTACATTGCATTTTATAATAAGTAAAATAATCATATTACATATTCATATGTTACGTAAAATATCGCTAACATATTTATATGTTAAGTAAAATATCGCTAACATATTTATATGTTAAGTAAATAATCGCATTACATATTAATATGTTAAGTAAAATAATCACATTACATATTAATATGTTAAGTAAAATATCGCTAACATATTTATATGTTAAGTAAAATATCGCTAACATATTTATATGTTAAGTAAAATATCGCTAACATATTTATATGTTAAGTAAAATAATCGCATTACATATTAATATGTTAAGTAAAATAATCGCATTACATATTAATATGTTAAGTAAAATAATCACATTACATATTAATATGTTAAGTAAAATATCGCTAACATATTTATATGTTAAGTAAAATAATCGCATTACATATTAATATGTTTAGTAAAATAATTACATTACATATTAATATGTTAAGTAAAGTAGCGGAATGTTCATTTACCATTAACAGTTAACATTTCTTCTAATTCTAAAATTAGCAAAACTTCAAAATACAGTTACTCCAAAGCAGTAATAGGGTAACAGGGGGTATTAAGCCCTATGGGGCATTAAGCCTCATTTCCTGTGTTCATCTAATGAAATAGCTGGTGTTATTGTATTAAGAGAGAGGGGCATTAAGCTATACATGATAGAAACTAACTAACCAATAAGGAAACTTTTCATAAACATTCTGGAGCAATTGAAATTTTTATATTTTCTATACAAATACAAGTACATATAGACTAAGTTTTTTTTTTAAAGTTTTTAATTATTTTTGATTGTTATCAATGAGTTAAAATACTGATATTTGTAAAGCAAATGAAGTAGAAATTTTAGCAAAGTAAAATCACATTAAAATGAATGTCTAAGATATTGTTTATAAATAGTTCTTCAAATTTACTTTAATATTAAATTTCTATTTAAGATTATAAAAGGATATCATTCCTATGGGAAATATGGTTCTATTAGTTTAACTAGTTTATAAAAATAAATGTTTTAATTAGCAGGGGCTTAATGCCCCCTGTTAACACAAACTGTTTAAAAAGGTGATTAAAACAATTAAATAACATAGATCAGATAAACAAAATTCATGTTTTAATATTATAAACAGGGCACAGATATAGTTTAAATTAAAAAGAAAAGTTATTTATTTGTAGAAATAGTTTAAATTTTTTTTAATAGAGCCTATTGCCCTCTTTATTTAGCAGAATGGTTTTAAATCTTGCAGGTGCTGAAGATAAATCACCTTTATCTTCAGCAGCTGCAAGATTTTTTTCTCAAAGAACTGCAGCCCAGATTTGCACAAACCTCTGGGAATGGTTGGTTAGAACCATCAGGTTTCGCTACGGAGAAAGTCTAACAGGTGATAGATGTTTGAAGTTACTAAGAGAAAAAGCAGCAAAAAAAGATAAATATTTAAAAATAATGTAAAAATAAATGTTTTACATTGTGAAGCTTATTGCTCCCATTTTTTACAATTTGAGTCTGCGTTACTTTTTAGCTTTTTTTTCATTATATAACTTTAAGTTTTGCTGGATAAAGCTTTTTTACATATAGAAATATGCGTTGTCTATAATTAAAAAAATATTTCTATTTTGAATTTAATATTTATTTTCTATCCAAAGAGAGAAAAGAAAAGTTATTGAAAACATGGGGCTTAATGTTCTCTGTTACCCTACATCTGGTTATTATACAAACAAAGATCTGCTAGCTATATACAAAACAAGAGCTGAGATATGAAGTAATGAAGTTCAAAATGAAGTAATGAAGTTCAAAAAAAGAGCTGAGATATATATTTCAAAATGAAGTATCATTTGCAATTAAAAAAAAAAACAGAAAAGAAAAAAATACCATTATAAAATGAAGATTAATAAAAGTCGAATTCAAGAGCACTGTTGAAATAAAGACAATGTGCTTAATAGCAAAGAAGTTGAACAAATATGGTGTTTTAATAAAGTAAGTGGTGAATTTATTTTATGTGGTTGTATATACAGACCAGGACACAATGATCTTGAAAACTGTCGTCATTTAACTAATTCTATCAAAAGAATTTATAAATTCTTTATTAAGAACAAAAAATACACCGATGTCTTGATTTGTGGCAATTTTAATTTTTAATTTTTAAATTGCAAATAGAACAATGAATTCAAGAAACTTACTTAACACAACATGTTATAAAACCAACATTTCAGCTAAAATTAAATGCTTATACAAATAATCTAGATCTAGTTTTAACAGCAAACCCATTTCGAATATCAAGTTAGTTCACACTGAGCCTTTAGGTGACACCCATCAAGTTTTGAATTTTAACTTCAATACCATGCCAAATGATCAAATGGATATAGAAAATTCAATTAAAACCACAAAGCTACTATTTTGAAGAGGAAATTATAAAAAGTTCACAGAGTTTTTGAATAACCATAATTGGAGAGAAGAACTCAAAAATATAGATATCAATCAGAAATATTTAAAGTTTATTAATATTTACGAAAAAGGGTTGTAATTAATGTGTACCTAAATTAAAATTGAACACAATAAATTTTAGAAGCAATAAAATATCTTTATGTATAAATGCACAACTTAAGCACAAAATAAGATTAAAATGATACCTTTGGTATTGTTGCAAAATATTAGATTTTAAAAATAAAGAACTAATTCAAGAATATAAAGCAAAAAATAAAAGAGTAAAAATACTTGTTGAAAGTAGCACAAAAGCACGAAAAGAAAATTGCAGTAGAATTAAAACAAAATCCTAAGCAAATTTATACCTATATCAATAGTAAACTTAAAGTTAAAAACTGTATAAGGTCACTTATTACCGATAAAAATGAGTACTAAGTACATCTAATGATGTACTTAAACTTAATGTAAACAAATCTCTAGGAAGTGACAAAGTTCACCCATTAGTCCTAAATAATTGTGGAGAAAGTTTTAGCACACCGTTATGCATTATTTTCAACTGATTGCTAGAATGGAAACACTACTAGAACTTTGGCTTGAAGCAAACATTACACTTAAAGGCTGACAACTACAGACCAATCTCTTTAACCTCAATAGTATGCAAGCTAATGAATAGTTTTGTTAGAGATATAATAATAAAACATCTTGTTTATAACAATTTAATAATTGAAGACCAGCATGGTTTTATAAAAATAAAAAGCTGCATTACAAACCTGCTAGAAACCTTAGATATACTTACTGATCTTAAAGAAAAAGGTATCTGTGCTGATATTGCCTTTTTAGTTTTTTGCAAAAGCTTTTGACTCGGTTGCACATAGACGATTAATTATCAAATTGAAGTCAATCGGTATGAAGGGGTTATTACTTAATTGGTGTGTGTTGTTTTTGAATAACAGAAAATAAAGTGTAGTTCTAGGGAAATTTTTATCAGAATAGGAGATTGTAAAAAGCGAAGTACCGCACGGGTTAGTTCTTGGTCCTTTACTTTTTGTAATTTTTATCAATGATCTAACACAGGGTTTAAATAACAAAGCTAATTTATATGCAGATGACACAAAAGTATTAGCAAAAATAAATAAATATAATAAAAATTTGCATAATAATTCTCTTTAAGATGACTTGGATTATCTCTGCGAATGGTCGACTAAATGGCTAATAAGCTTTAATAGTGATAAATGCAAGATAATGCACATAGTTCATGATAACCCAAAAAATAAATACACGCTAAAGTGCAATACTGAAGAACTAGAAACCTCTAGAAAAAATCTTAAAGAGACATTGTTTGAACGAGACTTAAGTGTATATATTTAAAATGATTTAAAATAGGAGCATCATATTGAGTCTATTGTTAACAAAGCTAATAGTACGTTGGGGTTAATAAAACATGCGTTCAACTATATCGACAAAAATACTATGAAACTATTATACATATCACTTGTGCGACCTCACTTAGAGTATGCATTTTAACTATGGAACCAATACTACGCTAAAGATATTAATCGTATAGAAAGAGAAAAACGAGCAACTAAAATTTGTTTCCCAAAAGGTATTAATTATGAACTAAGGCTACAAAATATGGAACTTTTAAAAATAGTTGATAGAAGGTTGTGAGGTGATCTAATTCAGATGTTTAGATTTCAAAACAATATAGGTAAAATAAACTGGCATAACGAACCTGAAAGAATAACTAATACTACGAGAAGGAAATTAAGAAGACAATCTGTAAACTCACTTTCTAGGCATAATTTTTTCACCAACCGTGTTGTAGAAGCTTGGAATATCTTAAATCAAGATGTTATTAATGCAACTTCTGTAAATGATTTTAAAAACAAACTAAAATGCTTTAATGATAAATGGCTGTTAAAGTCTAACACCTACTGTCGTTTTTATTGTTTTTCTCGGTAAAACAAGAAAACAGTATTTATATTATCTTTATATTATATTTATATTAAATAATAATTTGTTTTTATAAAAATTATTGAACATAAATATTTGTAAAATTATTTATATATAATCAATGTTTATGATAAAATAGTTGATTTATTTTATTTTATTTTAAAAGTTACAGACCAGCTTTGTGATGGTGCTATTAATGGTACTACTAAATACTTTGTTTCTGGTGTGAAATGTGCAACAAATGAGTCGTGTGTAATAAGTAATCTTGAAATTAACAATGGAGTTAAAACATTTGACAACATTTTTTTTGCTGTATTAACAGTGTTTCAATGTGTGACAACTGATGCATGGTCAGAAATTATGTACAAAGTAAGTGATTTATTATTTACATTTCAATATTTTCTTGTTAATCTTTTAAAAATTTAGCATTTTTTTACACTTTAAAAATAAATTTAATTATCAATTAGTTTTGTTTTGTAGCAGTTTATTTTTTGTATTTACATTTTGCACCACACATTCACACTATCTTGTAGGAGGCCTATTGTAGAAAGTTTTGTTGACCAGCCTTTTCATCCAATAGCCTGGCATAGATGTAAACATTTGTTACATTGTTTCTTATGTAGAATAATGAATGCCCGATTTTCATGATTATACTCATGGGTTTTTGCTTGTGTCTCCTTGTTAGTGGCTATGTAACTCTTTCTGTTTTCCCGTAAGCGACACAGTTCTAAAACTCATTTTATTTGTTCTAAGGTCAGCTGGTAGTAAGTTTATGGTTTATAGTTAACTTGAGAAAAGGCTTGACTTAAAGTTGACAATAAGGAATGAAAATATGTATATATGCATATTTTTATAAAGAATAAATATGATATATGCATTTTCGCATGTATGTATGTATTACTGATTATTTAAAATATAATTGGATTTATTGTTTAAATATTTTTGAAAGTAGAAAAGTTTTTTTTCTAATTTCTTGTTTTATTGATTTTTAATAGTTTTATTCAAATAAATTCCTGAATAATATTATTATTATCATGCTTAACTATTAAAAAAAAAAGTTTTAACAATATTTTTATTGCTTTAAATTATTAAATTTTAAAGTTTATGTGCAAGGTTGAAAACCTGAGTCAGAGAGCATCAAATGGTGATTTGTTGTTTTAATCAAGGAAACAGCAACCTTGGTTTATAAGCTAAATTATTTGTGATTCTGAAATTTGTATGCAAAAAACTGTCAAAACCTGGAGGCTTACAGGTGATGTTGTTGATGTGCCTGATTCTGGAAGGTTAGTGATAGTGACAAAAGTAGCTTATTCAGAGTCAGCAAAATATATCATTAAATCAGCTACAAAATGTTCAAACAATTCTTTTTGTTCTAAATCTTATCTCAAATAAACTTTTGTGTGACATATTTTTAACTATGTATTTAACTAATTTTTTGTAGTTTTTTAAAGTTTTTTAAAATTTTAGATTATTTAGAATTTTGTGAAAGTATTAGAATTTATTTATAATTACAAATAAGTAATCAATTCTAAACAATGCTCAAAATATTTTATAAGTTATAAAAATTAAAAGTTATAGTGTTAATTTTTTTACGTTTTCTTTCCCATAAATAGATGGTAGTAGCAGAAGTAGTGTTAGTAAAAGGTGTAGTAAGTGGTCGGTGGAGGTTGTGGAGAAGTGGTGGTAGCAGAAGGTGCAGTATACTTATAGTAGTATACCTTTTGTATTTACAAAAGGTATAAAAGTATAAACAGTAGCATACGTATGCCACTGTTTATTACTGTATTATTCCTAGATTCTTTTCTCTAGAGAACTATAGTTTTCGCGGAAACCTTTTCAGAGTTCTAAAAATTTTCATCAAAAAAAATGCATATTGGATAAGCCTAATAAAATTTTTGGCGTTGAAAAATTGTTTTATGACATATTTATTGACATTATCTTTTCATACTTGTACTGCACATTTTTGATGCTTACAAGGAATTTCATTTCTCGTAAAGTAGGAAAATAAATAAAAATAGTGGTAATTATAGTTTTTACAAGTTTTATTGATTTAGGTACATTTATAGGTACAAGCTTTATAGATTTAATTAAGAGAAATTTGTGACAAAAAAAAATTTGCTAATGGTACATTATTTAATCTAAAAGTCAATCAAACACAAGTATTACCATTTTTTTCTTCTGCATAAACTTACATATTATATATTTAGAATATAATTATATATTACATATAAAAAACTTATTTTTTATGTGATTTTTGTATGTATAAATTTGGATATTGTAAAGGCTATATTTGCATTAAATATTTGTTTTAGCTTATTTCAGCATACATGCTGAAACTTTGGTGAAAACTAAATTTTATCTTAATTATCAGCATATCTCAACTTTTATGTCATTAATTAATTTTTGTAGTGTTTCAAAGTTATTTTTTTCATCATTTATCCATTATTTGGAATTTAATAAAAATATTAGAATTTATAATTACAAATAAGTAATATATTCTAAACAACAATATAAAATATTTTATTAAATATTATAATTAAAAGTTGAAGTTTTAATCTTTTTATGTTTTGTTTCCTAAAAATAGATGGTAGTAGAAGTTGCTGTAAATAGTAGGTGGAGGGTGTGGAGGAAGTGGAGGTAGTGGAATGTGCAGTATACCTATATTAGTATACCTTTTATCTATTACTGTTTAATACTATACTATACCTTGATTCTTTTCTCTAATGAACTTTAGTTCTTGCGAAAACCTTGTCACAGTTCTACTCTTTTTTTAAAATATTTTTTCACAAACCTTTTGAAAAAATCTCCCCATCTCTTTTAATCTAATTTTTAAAGTATCAAAAAATTCTACTTAATTTCCAGATTCAGGTTTTATCAAGCTTTATTTTTTCATTTTTTTCTTAGTTTTAAACAATAGTTCAACACAAATATTGTAAGCAAATGATGTTGAGTATTTTGACTTTGTATAGCTATTCAATAGGATTTCATATTTTTAATCAATATTTAAACAGATCTTGACCTTATTCTATAAGTTTATTTGTATAAATATTGAATAACAGATAAGGCAAACGTTATCCTAGTAAATCTAAATTTGGCTGCATCTATTTTATCTAGCAAATTTATGGCCGCATCAGCATCCACATTCTTGTCACCTCATACAACTATATTTGCTATAAAAATATGTTTTTTCTTTAAGATAGTTTTCCTTTCTTAAAAAATTTAAATCAATTTTCCTATTTGAGCTTAAACTCTAAACACTTGATTTTTACTTTTAAACACCTACACCTGGTCCTTTTTTATACTAGTCACATAAGTTTTAGTAGCAACTATTATGGTAAATAATGTGCTACCTTTCCAGTGTTTGTATTTTAAAGATAGCATGTTTTGTTTCTTGTAATTTTTTTTTTCAGTACATCCAGAAAAAACAAACTTGACTCATCCAGAAAAAACAAACTTGACACATCATGGACTAACAATGTCTGAGATTTTATTTTATTTTATCATATTAAAAAAAAAATAGATAATAAAAAAATATATATACTAGGAAAAAAACCTTTAATTTTCAAACTCATTTTAAAGTTTTCTTTGTTTTGATTTATATACTTTTAATAATTGTACATAATTACTATATAAGACATAAATTATTATATCACAATTTTTTTTCAGACATTTTATACTATGGATGAAAAAGGGTATTTATGGTCAGCTTATTATGTTTCATTGGTGATGCTAGGTGCATTTATTATACTAAATCTGGTTCTAGGTGTTTTAAATGGGTAAAGTTGTTTTTATTGTACTATTTACATATCTTGTTAGTGTATACACGTGTCTATATTATACATATGCATATTATATATACAGGTCTTAGTCAGGTAACTTATTATACAGGTCTTGGCGCAAGAGCTCTTGCTCTTCCCTTTTATCAACTTTTTTTTCTCCGAATTATCAACAATTTATGGCTCATAAAAGGGAAGTGTTTTCTGTGTCTCCGAATTATGGAGCAATTTATGGCTTTCGCAAAAGTATAATTTCTTCTCTCAAATGTATAATTATCATTGTAACTAAAATAAAAAACACAAGCACATTTTTATAAAACAAATTAATTACATAATTAATTGGCGTTTTAAAAGACATGGTTGTTGCAAAAAAATTTGTTGTTGAAATGCAAATGTTTTTGATTAGATTATACTAAGTGATTAATATAAAAATATTACACTGAATTATATTGATAAAGTATAAAAATATTTAACTGATAAAATATTAAATTATTACACTCTAATTGCATCTGTTACATAATAATTTTTATTTTATGTAATAAATTATATATTTTATATATTAATTACTTTAATATATTTTTCACTTTTATTGTAGAATTTTTAATTGTTGTAATAATTATTAAAATGCCTGCGTTCTATTACAATAAAAAGTATAAAACATTTTTTATAAGCAGTAAAAACGTTTATAGCTCTTTGTCAAATTTTTTATCAAACAAGAATTTTTTTAATAATTAGTGGATATTTATATGAAAATCTAAAGACAACGCTCTATAAAAGAATTTTTTCACAGCGCAATAAATGAAAATAGTTATGTATATACTCTTGTAATATTAACGTCACAAATTTTAAACTTGTAACAAATTTAAAACCAAATTTTGTATTTGATAAGCAACCTTTTTAATGAATGCTCATGCAAAAACCAAAAGATCTTGTCAGAAGCTGTTTAGAGCAGATTGCCATGTTTGTTTTATGTTTGTTAGCTTTTCTCCGCTTATGCACTCATATAGCACTTTATAGGCCTTGAAACGTAGAAGTGATATTGGCCATTTTTTGCTGACCTTAAACACTTTTAGCTTAGCAATGCTGAATGCCGACCTTAATTCCATGAGCTGTATATATATACATATATAAACATATATATAAGTATACACACATACATATATATATATATATATATATATATATATATATATATATATATATATATATATATATATATATATATATATATATATATATATATATATATATATATATATATATATATATATATATATATATGTATGTATGTATATATATATTTTGCTTTCTGTTATTCTACAAATTAACATTATTTGTTTACTGTTAAGTTAATGGATGACAGTAATGTGAGTGCTCACCATATTGTTTCATATGAGTTACTATGAGAAGTTAATTCAAATTATCGTTAGTTACTTTTGGACATATCTGAATTTCTGCATGATGAACTGGTTCATGTAATGTAAAAAATAATAAATTATATATTTTGCTGAATTGTAATTGAAATGTAGTTAATGCAATACTGAATGCATATTGTAGATTGCTAAAGTTTTTAATTTAGTTTATCTATTGCATCAAGTTTGATTACATACTTAGTTCTTTTTGTTTACAATGTGCATTATTTATCAATAATTTAATATTGTATAAAAAGTCAGCACTTTAAATGTCTAGATGAGTAGATGATGATTTATATAGTATAATAAGCAAAATATTATTGGTTCTAAATTACACACATAGTAGTAACACTACATATTATTATATAATAATATTTATTTTATAAACATTTTTTTTTACAAAATTATGACAAACTTTTGTTACTATTATGAATTATACTAAAAGTGAAAAACATTGTAATCCATTTTCCCCAAGATGGTTACAGGGACAATTTAAAATAATTTGCTCATTTAAAATACGGATGTTTAGGTTTTAATTTAAACTGAAAAAAAAAAAAGGAAAAAAAAAATTTGTGGTGCTTACACTGAAGCAACTCAAATCAACTCACACTCCCTATTAACTCAAATCATGCTTTGAAAATTGATCTTTAAAAAACCTTATAAATCTCAATTTGTCAAAAAAATTTTAAAAGGTTTTTGTTTATTTTTTATACCATAGTGTAAAAGTTATATAAAAATATTAAATCCTATTGAAACTATAATGAAATAGTTGTTAAAAAAAGGGCATTTGACACACTAGAGTTAAATTGTTTTATTTGTGTTTTGCAAAAAATTCACACTTCCTATTAAGACCCCTTCCCCTTTTTTTAGATCCGGATTAAAATTGTCCCTTTCCCCTCCCCCTTCCCTCTTTGTATTAAACACACAAGAGTAGTTTTGTTTATGCTTCACAAACACTGATTGCATCACACCTTTAAAACCAGGAAGCTTGTTAAAATCCTGCAATTAAGCATTTCTGAAAATGGTGTTTGCTCTAACAATAGTTAATGACACCACTAATAGAGTATACAGGCTAGTATATCATCTTTATAGTATATATCACCTTTGCACTAATAGGCTTATACAGTCTTACAGTTCTTTGCTAACAAAAAATAAAGTACAGAAAAAGTTCTTATAACTGGTTGTGCATGAACATCACCCCTAATTTCTAGGTTTCAAGAAAAATATTTTGCTTTTGGAGCTTTTTAAAAATGAATAAGTCTGCTATGATATAGATTGACTGTATTAAAAACTGTTTGCAATGTAAAGTATAAAATAATTAAAATTTTTATAACTGTCAGTCTTACTTTTGTTGTTATAAAAATATTTTTAGACCACTTTAATATATATATATATATATATATATATATATATATATATATATATATATATATATATATATATATATATATATATATATATATATAAATATATATATATATATATATATATATATATATATATATATATATATATATATATATATATATATATATATATATATATATGTATATATATATATGTATGTATATATATATATATATATATATATATATATATATATATATATATATTATATATATATATATATATATATATATATATATATATATATATATATATATATATATATATATTAGGGCAGGCCACAGTCCCGCATAAATTTTTCAAAAAATTAATTTTACTAGTGGCTGCATAAAATATTGTTCCTTTTACTATAAAAATCATTTTTTGTTATGAAAGTTTTTATGTAGCAAATCTCTAAGTACTGCCGCAATTCATTTTTAATGTGAATTTGAAATCTAAATGAAAAACACAAATCCTCCATTACATCTGTTCCGTTATTTAAATTATTCGGTTAAATACATCCAATAATAGCGTTTTTTTTTGTAAACAAACTGAATATGCGCTACTTTTATAATGTGAAATATTTAAATCAGACTTGATATGCTTATGCAAAAAGTACTAAGAGTTTAGCAAATAATACTTATTTTTCAATTTAACAGCCTAAGTATCATCCTAATAAGATATTTATATTTTAATCTTTTTCTTGTAAAACAAAACAAAAATCTTTTGTTCCAATACTTATAGATTTTTGTTTTACAACACAATAACTTTATTTAGTAGTTTTCATACAATAAATAGGCACCTGTAAGAGTTGCGGTATTCGTTGAATTGTGTTCAAAGATGTGTAATTTAGATTAAAACTCATTATGTTTATTTAATGTTTATTTTTTTACAATTCCTAGGCCTATATGTTTACATAATGTTTTTCAATAAGCATATAGTAACAGATTCAACACCAATGTACTGACTATTTATTATTATCAGCCTGGTTATTCTCTGATCATAATATAGCAAATTTATTAAAATCTAGCACGCCGCTGTCATTTATCTTATGTTTATATTATTAGCAATACAAAATAGTTAAGTGGTTAATACTATATGCTCATCTTGTTTTTAATTCCAGTTAATATGTAATTCAAAGTAAATATTTGATAAAGAAAATGTCTTTAATTAAACCAAAGAAAAATGACATTGAACCAACAAAATTAAAAATGTCGATTAAAAAGAAATACTTGAAAGTATTGAAGTCAACAAACAAAATATGGTTGGTTGAATATCCTTTGGAAGATTTAAAAACAAGCTCTGTGCCCATTACCAGAAATGTTTATAAATTTCACAGGTTAGGCTTAATACTATATTAAGACTGAAGTTATAACTTTATGTTTTTAAAAGTTTTTTTAAAGGTTTAAATTATTTTCATCTTCCATTTCAAGGTATCATTTGCAAGTTATTGATAGCTCTTATGAAAAGTTTACTAAAGATAAGGAGGCATTGTACACTCAAAGCAACGTTTCAAAATCTAGGTTAGCTGCATTGCTTACTACTAAATCAGTCAAGCTCTTTTAGGATAAGGCTGGCATTCCTTATAAACAAGACAAGTATAGTATTAAAAATATTTTAAGGCTACATGACAAATGGAGGTTGCTTGCAAAATCTAAAAATAGAATTTCTAATAAGAAGAGTTTACTTGAACAAAACTTTATTCAATCATTAGATGGCATTTTTGATATTAGTTCTCCTAGTTGGAAAGATGGCATTAGAAAAACCAGATCAGCTAAGGATGCAGATGAAGAAATTGCCTGGTTTACAGCTCTTCAAAATGGAATAAAAACTTGAGGAATTGGTGTAAAAGATAAAATGCTACATTCTAGTGTTAGGAGAAAAAAAAGAAAGAATTCAAAAAAAACAGGTGGCAACTGAAAATGAAAAAAAAGAAAAATAGATGATAAAGAAACTGTTCAGTTGGTTGGTTATAGTAGTGACTCAGCTGAAGATTCTTATGTCACTTAGTCGTTCTATGAGTTCTGCATATCAAAACTCTCTCAAAAGTAATCCTGAGTTTAATATTTCTAAAAGGCAGCAAGGAGAAAAAAGAGATACCGGATTAGATAGTACCACACTGGTTTTGCCAAAAAACTTCATTTCTTACCCAATGATATCAGCAACTGCAGATAGAACTAAGCTATCAAATCCTCAGCTAAT